TTCCACCCCACTTTGGTGGCTCTAATGGACTTGCGCTACACCCCTGTCATCTCTTGTTCAGATCTCTCTCTGTATTTGACAATAAAGAAAACAAAAGACATCCAGCTCTCATTGTAGACTCCAGCTTGTCCAAACCCTTCTCTGATACTTCCCAAGACATACCATCTTTCATGCTCCCTGGCCAGACTTCTCATCCAAGTTGCTCCTGAAGACAGACCAGGGCCTTTCTGAGCAAAGAGGAAAAAAAAGCATTTGGCTAACGCTAATGCTTCTGCCATGACGAAGTAATTTCTGTGGAAACATCCCCTTTCACATCGCTCTAAATCCCAGGCCTCTCTGTAGTTCTGTCTCCAACAGAAAGGCTCATGCTCTTGTTCTCCATCCTGCCCCAGCCACTGAGGCATGAAGTCATCAAAAGTCATCAAAAAGGCATTAAGATGATCACAGGCACTTTTAGCTGTGACCAAAGAATCAGGACAATTACCCCGAGCTACGGGAGGCCAATCCGCAGTACAAACTTCACTGTGATAAGAAACACACAGTGTCTCCATGTCCGCCATGAACCTGCACGGAGTTGGGCTGTTCTCAGTCACATCCCCTTGCCACCCCACTCACAGACAGGTCTCACACCCGCCTGCTCATAAAAGTTTCGCCTTTTTTTTTTTTTTTTTTTTTTTTTTCCTTTAAGTCTTTTACATTGCAACAGTACTGAATTTATGTTTAGAATTGGTTTTAGACTCTGGAAGGTCCTTGTGAATGACAGTAAGTTGGTGAGTTCAGGTAATAAGCCGTGATGACTGGGGAAATCAGTGTGGGAAGGAGAACAGTCTTGTTGATTCATTTTCAAAATGAAAACGCATTTCATTTTGCAAAACAAAAGAAAAAAAAATAGAATTCAAAAGAGGAGGCTGTCTTACACGCTATAAAACAACCGTGCATCAAAAAGTAGTGTCCTCTCACACAAAGGGGACTTCTTGTTGAGCTGTAGACAAACTTGAATGTCACAAGCTCTATACTTCACATTGCCACCAGGAAAAGCAAATACCAACAACTTTTAGGGACAGATAAAAGCAAACAAACAAACAAAATGGTAAGAATGCATCACCTAGAAAGAGAAATTCTTTCTAAAACTTCCAGCGAAGCTGACCATTAGCTACTCAGCCCGCGGAACAAGCTTCAGCGGCTGCGAGCGAGCACCACAGCCCCTCCACGCTGCTTCCATGAAGAGGCCCAGGGGAGACCCGAGCGCCGGGGAGCGGCACAAAGGCATCGTCCAGGGGGCTGGACAGCACAACTACTAAGTTCATCCAGAAACTGTCTGAGAAACTTTTAAAATCGGCTGTGGAGGACTTGGGCAAGTTCAAGAGTAGACAGCAAGAAATGCCAGCTCCCCTTCCTAAGATTGGGCTGTATTTTCAGAAGAAAATATATTCTTTTCAAGAAAAAACATGAAACTTGCGAATAAATGTACATTTCAATGAATAATTTTCATTCTGGGAAGAGTCAGAAAAGGAAAATACAGGTTTCATGCTTCCCAGAGGAGCATTTGTCACTTACCCAGTCACTGGGTCGGGATCCCCTATGACATCCCACAGGCAACATGACCCCCTCACCTCAAGAAAACGAGATGCAGACTGCTGCGAGAACATTACATATTATATGGTATTTTTTTCCATATTCTCTGTTACAACAGCAATGCACAGATGGACCAATCTAAAACAATGTATAATGAATAGGAGATTTGGACAGGCAAGCAGACATTTCGCATGACAGACAGCATACGAGTTGCTGCTCTTTCAAAGCACTACAAATCTCCTCAGATAGGCCCATGTTTGGTCTGAATCCAGGTTCATGTTCAACTCAAGAAATAGTTTAAATTGTTCAATAAATTGGCTTAAGTGTAGGCAAAACATATTTTGTTTCTTCATAAAAGTTCATCTGAATTTCACTCAACACTAGTCTACATATAATTTTATTTTATAATCGGTTACCAAAGGTTATGCAAAACCATCAAATCAACGTCAAGTATGACTACACCCCACTTCACCAATGGCAAAATCAAGCTTCATATGTCAGTTTTTCAATGTTTATGACTCTTTAAAAAGGACATCTACCAATAAATGACAGGTATCCTTGCCAGCAGTTTAGGATATACTAATTTTAAAATGAAAGAGCATCTCCCACATTTATACAGCTGCTCAAAGACAGACTTCAAAAAAATGTAAAGGACCTTTACAACGTGTTCAAAAAGTTGGATTAAAAGATATTCACTAACTTGATTTATTATCCCCGTGTAAAACACGGCAAAACCTTCCAGGAAAACAATTCTGAAAACATAGGGAAATCAGTGACCATTGGATAAAATACTGTGCTATGGGAAAACACAAACACTTTTTCCCAGGCTGTGCTGCTGAGCTTTTCAGACTCTCTCAGAATCTCAGATGTGTCATACCTTCCCATGGGAAAAGAAACATTTTAAATGCAATATCAAAATAATAATAAGAAAATTTAAAAAAAAACATCGTCTGATGACACAACTCTCCTTTTCCTAAAACCTGTAACAATCCTATTTTCAAAATTCCTTTCCCACCAAATAAATTAAAAAAATAACATTTATGCCTAAGAAAAAAGTTTGCGGAACTAAATCCTAATTTTGTAAAGCATCGTTCATGGTTTACAATGTCCCCAAGGTATTCTACTATGTCCAGTTATATGAAGTAATAAAAATAAATAACGTTTTCTTCAGTTAAAAACCAAATTACTCCGTTATCTTTTCGTGCCTAAATTAACCAATAGTCATGTATTCAAAATGCAGTGAGAAAGCAATAAAAGATTCCTGATTATATATAAAGGACTAAAGAATCATAAATATGCTACAAGAGCTATGCATAGCTACCTACAAGAGCTATGCATAGCTACGTGCTTATTCTGCTTGTGAATGGAAAAGGAAGAAGGAAGGGTCTTCAAGGAAAGTAGCCAAAGGAAACTGCAGCAAATGTAAAAAGCATTTCAAGGCTATATTTAGAGGAAGACATTCTTCATACATTTGCCAAGCTATTCACGTCACTTCACACAGCATGTTTTATCCAGCTTTTTAAGTCTATGAGAGAGCGGGGCGGGGGGAAAAAATCTGGATCAGTTGCCAGAAATGGAAATCTTGCATTTATGTAGAGGAACAAATATTTTAAGCATGTGAATTCAAGAGTACTTTCCAAAGGGGGATAGGGGGGGAGAAAAGAGGAGGCAGGGTGTTAAAACTTTCTACAGATACCACAGAAGATTCTGCAGTATAAAGTTTGTAAGTAACATGACCTAGCATCTAATATTCCCTTTTGAGCTAGGCTCACTAGCCTTAGCTATATCAATAAAAATACTAAAATGAGTGAATTTCACTAAGTTCAAGTCTTCAGCTGGTGTAAACTAGCTGAAGACCTGTCCATGTTCATGTATATAGGATACATTATTTATATAAGCAATTACATATTTCTCCTCTATAATGAGGTAAATAACAGTCTAAGATGAATAAACAAACACCAAACACAAGCTCAAAGGTGAAAACAGAAACAAAAATACTCCAGTTTTATAAGAATATTATGATTTTTCTTTAACTTGTTTAGCACATGTCAGGAGGTTCAGCTATTTGCATAAAGAAATGTCAAGCATACGAAAAATATGTCAGTACCAGATGTAATGGTAATAGGAACAAACCACATGGAAATTTCCTGTTAGTGACCTTCTGGAGGGTGGGGATGGAATCAATTTGAGATACAGGACTGGTTTTACTTAAATTTATACAAATGACTTCTACAAAGTTTTTACCTTCATTCCCTTCTCCAGGTGGCTGATAAAACGAAAGCCCCAAAGATATGATGGCTGCAATTTCCAAGATTATAAGAGTCACATCCTGCAACGCTTCCCAGACTAGCTGTAAGAATGTTTTTGGCTTCTTTGGAGGTATAAAATTTTTTCCAAAAATAAGCTTTCTTTTTTCTAGGTCTGCAGCAGTGCCAGCTAATCCTGTAAATAAAATAAAATAAAATAAATTAAAATTGCAGTGCAATAGAAAATGCCCACTTATATCTGCATTCCTATAAATTATTTCTCCAAGAACAACTACAACCTGTACCACCTATGGCATATTAACAAATAGGTAGATTTTTCACTTAAATTTTGCTTTTGCGAGATGGTTTGTCCTTACATTCTGAACAGAATCCTTATGGACTCTATTTAGTACTAATCCCTTCCAGTTTTAATCATAAAAAAGTCTTTGAATTAGTAGGTTTACTTTAATAAAATATATATAAATACATACATACATGTAAGCAATGGCTTCTGAAAATAGATCATAAAGCACAAATAAATTATATTTGGGATGAAGTTGGAATAGCTGTTAGCAGCTTTTGGTAATATCAGTAGAAGCAGCATACATGTCTTTGTTCTGACCTCAGGTCAATGACCTCAAAGTATAAATCAATAAAGCACGTCTTGTTCTACTTCAAAACCACCTCTCTTGCTGCATGTGTACTGCCACACAATCGCTGGATTTCTGCATCAAATTTTTTTGAAGTGAAAAAAGACAGCCAAAGTGACAGGTTATACATGCAAAGAAAGTAAAAAGGAAATGATATGGTTCCTTAAATCGATATAAAAATGCATGTATTTTGCATGATACTTCAACTTAAGAACATTTCAATTTAAGGATACAGTGTAAGAACGTGCGGTGGCACTCAACAACCTACTTAGGTGCTTTTTTTCCTATTTTTAAATTATATTAATGTATGCACGTCTAGCGCCTTTTCGGGGGGCGGAGGGGGGGAAGACTTGCAAGTGTTAGGGTAGAATAACTGTGCCCATACACCACTCTCTGCAGCAGAAAGAGCTGCAATAAAATAAGTGGTTACACACACCTGCCAAGTAATATTTGATATCAGTTGGAACATTCACAAAACTGTAGGTTTTGAATGTGATCAGCAACGTAAAGTTATTCATGCTTGTTTACACTAACATGACACAACAAAAATACTTAAATTGAGAGTTGACCTCGGAGGACTACAAAGGTGCCTGCAAGAGAGCAAGAGGAAACGATCGATCCCACGCTGTAAGGATTCCTCTCCTTATGCCGTTTAGGGTAAGTCCTTCCCTCCCCCAAAGCATATCAACTCCTATAGGATACTTCAGGAGTGGAAAGTCCTATTAATAGCATCTTCAAGGTGCCAAGTAAAAAATCAGGATCCTAATGCGCTGATGGTACTCAGCATTATGTCTCGTTCGTTCAGGACTGGTGCAACTGCTCCCAGCAGTGTGCATGTGCCAGTAAGTCACCTCTTGGATGAAAGCACCGGGCCCAAGCGTAATTTCCTCAAGACCAAAGTGATGCTTTTTTGAACATATCAATCCTGCCACAGCACAGTGTCCTGATTTCGGCTGGGATAGAGTTAATTTTCTTCCTAGTAGCTGGTATAGTGCTGTGGTTCGGATTTAGTATAAGAATAATGTTGATAACACACTGATGTTTTAGTTGTTGCTGAGCAGTGCTTACACTAAGTCAAGGACTTTTCAGCTTCCCATGCTTGGTCAGGTGCACAAGAAGCTGGGAGGGAGCATAGCCAGGACAGCTGACCCCAACTGACCAAAGGGCTATTCCATACCATATGACGTCATGCTCAGCATATAGAGCTGGGGGAAGAAGAAGGAAGAGGGGACATTCGGAGCGATGGCGTTTGTCTTCCCAAGTCACCGTTACGCGTGATGGAGCCCTGCGTTCCTGGAGATGGCTGAACACCTGCCTGCCGATGGGAAGGAGTGAAGGAATTCCTTGTGTGTGCGCGGCTTTTGCTTTCCCTATTAAACTGCCTTTATCTCAACCCATGAGTTTTCTCACTTTTACCCTTCCGATTCTCTCCCCCATCCCACTGGGAGGGAGGGAGCGAGCAGCTGAGTGAGGCTTGGTTGCCGGCTGGGGTTAAACCATAACATACAGGCAAAGACATTGACTCACCTTTCACTTAAGGTATATAATTACAGCTGTTGTGTAGCTTCTGGCTCTTGGTTAACTCATCAAACTTTCATTTCACCTTCAGCTTCTAAGAAACGCTATCCTTCTCTCCCAGATAAAGGCATGCTGTAGTTATGATTACCTCACTTCATTTAATTTTCAGTACCTAGTGCTTAGTGACACTGTAACAGACAGGTTCCAGCTATTATGAAGTGTGTCTACATTATCCTTCATGATTCAAACAATAAAATGTCAAACCTCTCAGCTGCTCCATGAGCTCCCAGGCAGCTTCCAACACGGGGAAAACACTTCCCCCTATGAATTATGAATTGCAGGCTATAAGCCATTTGGGTAGTTGCCCTTCTGTGAACCAATGCAGATCACAGAACTTAGGACAACACATGTGAGAGATTAGGGGAGTCACCACTGATGGTATCTGATGTAGGGACAATCCTTTAGCAGAGACCAAACAAACGCAGTTTGATTAGCTTTCAGAGGTCTGCGAAGCCCTTCAACACAAGGAAGGATTTTCACTAAAAATGGCATGCACAATTTGCACGAGTCCCCCAAAATACAACCTACTCCAAATACAGCAGTGACTTCATATGTAAAGAGGAAAGTACATTGACAGCATTGATAGTGGTAGGGGTTTTTGGGAGAAATGTTCATATAATGCACCTACAAGTAGCAATACAAAACTCTGAAATAGAAAAAAATCAAAAGCACATTGGAAAGTGGAAGGAAGAGATGTCTGAAAAATGCCTATTTTCCAATACAGAACATATGTGCATGGTGGTGGGCCAGCGCCAGCAGGTAGGGAGACGACTGGGGACTCAACAGCATGAAAGGGATGGCTGAAATAGTACAGGAAATAGCCACAGTATTTTTCAACAATCCTAATTATATTTACCTAGACTTTGAAATTATGCTATATACTTTACTGTCAGGAGGCCATAAAAAGTACACATATCCTGTCCTATGTTACTGATCATAATGCACATATAAATACATGTACATACTGAGAAGCCTCCAAAGCAAAGAGAGATACTGCAACTCAAAGAGCTGCTTTTTCTCTAAGACAAAAATTGTTCATTTGGACACCTCAGAAATTTAGACACCATAAGGTTGAGGACTAGACTGAGTTTAAAGCATCTACGGTCACCATTATCTTCCAGATTATAGTCTAAGTAGCCTACGCTGGAATTCAGACAAATTTTATTTAATCGTGTTCTTTCATTTTTCTTAATAATACTATCTTCCTTAAGACCCATAAATAGACAAGGGTAAATTTTGTTCTTTTCTGTAAGTCTAGGTCTTGCTGAAATTAATACCAAGTCAGTCTCGCCTAAAAGTAAGAGCATATTCATCTTTAATTATCAAATGTTTTTTCTTGTAAATCATTTAGAAATGCTGGAAAACGAAATTCAATGTTCAATTCAAACAAAAAGGTTTCCCTTCTCCTGAGATCTGGCTATCACTCAAAAAATGGGTAAGCAAAATTTTGATGTTTTTTTTTTCTCTCACTCAACACCAGAAACTAACACACTCCTATATTGAGAGAGAGAGAAAGGAAGGGATGGATGAAGAAATCTGCAGACCAATTGATGAAATCACATAATAGTCCTAAGCATTACTGTAGAGAGAAAGTCAGAAAGGGGCAATAAAATACACAGAAGCCGAAGTAATACAGAGACACACAACTAAGGGAAATGGGATCGAGAATCCGAGGCAACGCAAGATGTTTATTTTGCAAAAGCTTCCATTAATTCTCAATACTATTGCCAGCACAAGGTATAATGGGGGCACTCCTGATCTTTTTCAAATAATCTGCTTTATTCAGAAGCATTATTTTAAATAGTACTAAAGGTGTTTTGAGCAAGGCTAACGTAATTGCTTGAAGAGGATTAGAGGTCACTCACACTTTCTGTCGCACTGGCAGATCTGCGGGATGCTGCTTCCCAGCTAGCGCGCGCTGACAGGCAGTACAGATGGTAAAAACGTCAATTAGCACAGCAAGATCTGGAAGCGGACATCTGTCCTCACCAGCACTTTTAACCAGGAGATGGCTTTCCTGCTGCTAGATTTTTTTATGTTTTTTTTTTTTCATATTAGACATACTGACTTCGTTACTATTCCTGAATATTTTTTAATTTCTCGCTTGTCCCTTAATTTAAGTAGAGTCCTGTGACAATAATGAAAGAACACTGCAAATGAAAGTAATTTGAAATATCATTTCTATATGGAGACATAAAACATCTAAGGAAGTGAAGAAGAACCGGTGGGGACTTAAAAAAAAAAATGAATGGAGATATCAGTTCAGTATGATTTCAGACTTCATATGTTACTGGCAAAAGAAGAAGCCTTCCGTCTTATATTCTGTGTGACAATAAGCCACAGACTGGCTGGTTTTATGTTCATGTGTCCACACAAGCACGAATTATTTTTTTTTAAGTGCTTTTCTACGGTGAAGCTGCACAACTCTTCTTTGCTTGACCCAAGTGTTTTAGAATGATATGCAGATTTGGGTTAAATTGATATACAAATAGTATGCACAGATTTAGGAGATATTGTGAAAACTTATTACTGATGCTTCCAGCACTTGAATAATTTCTTAAGGTTTCAGTTTCCAAAAATTTTCCCCAAAATTTATTTGGAATTTGTGGGAGAACAAAAGTGATTGCATAGAAAACATTTTCCACAATGTTGTGCAGCATATTAAATGCATTTCTGATTTCATCTGGCATGCCTTTATACAGAAATTGTTTTAATTGTTGCTTTTTTGGAGGGAGAAAAAGATTAAAAAACTGGAGAAATGCCACTTAATGAATTTTCTCTGTTCCTTATCTACATGTGTCAGCTACTGCATGCTGAACATAAAACCATCATTTCAATTAATGCTTCCTGGAAAATTGTATTTCTCTGACAGTCATCTCGACTGCAACCAAATGGACCATGACAAACAGAGAATTATTTTGATGCTGCAAAAAATAGCAAAAGCACATCACTACTAAAGC